CTGGCCGGCTCCCATGGTGGACGGACGGAGATCGGTGGGTGGGTGGGTGGGTTGACCCTTGACTCGGGGGGCGGTGTTCCGTGCCGACGAGGTGCGTGGAAGCTGGCGGTGACACAGAGGGAAGGGGCCAACGGCACGGCACGGCAGTGTGATGTGATGTACTAGGTCGGTCGGTGGTGGACTGGTGGTTGTGCGCGGGCTGGTAGAATTGCTGGCCCGTTGTTAAGGGCCTGGGCCTGGCGGATGTCTGGGTATGGTTCATGAGCTTTTCTCTTCATGGACAGATGCAGCCCATCTCAGCTACTTCTCACCAATTCTCAAAAAAAAAAAAAGCTACTTCTCACCAACTATAAAACTGTTGAGCACCTCAATTTGAAAAACCGTAGAAAACTGTTGTCCCTCAAAAAAGAACCTTGAAAACTGTTGTTCTGATTAAAAAAAAAGGAAATCTGCTGTTCTAATAGAACCTAGAAAATTGTTATCACATTTCAATTTTTTTTTAGAAAATTGTTATCACCGATGAGTCTAGAGTCAACCTTCGATATAAGCAATACTACGGAGCCGTCACTGGTAAAAACACACACAACACTAGTGCCGTTATGAGTGACGAGAGCTCAAATGTTACCACCGATGAGCTGCTCGGGGGTGTTTTCTACCCCTAGGATGTGTAAATGCCCTTCCATCTCGGTTAGCTCTAGGATTAAGGTTGTTTCATTCTGTTCCGAGGGAGAAGATTGTGCATGGGCGGGGTGCCGTCATGGAAGGTTCCTGAGGCCAGCTGTCTTAAGATTAATACGGGCTGCTCAATGGCTTGACTCGTAGTGGTATGATCCTTCGAGACCATGTGGGAGAGATAATATTTTCTTTATGCAGATGCCTCCATCATTGTGCTGATGCTTTGGAAGCAGAGGTCTCATCTAGGTTTGTCGTTGGCATTGCAATGGAGTAATCTCCCCATTCAGGTTGAGTCTAGATGTATAGAAGCAATTAATCTTGTGAAGAAAGAAGGCATGGACATATCCCACTTTGGCTTTATGGTGTGTGAGATTAGATCACTCATGACCCTCGAAATACTTGTAGTAGTTATGTTCAACGGAACCATAATTTTGTTAGTCATTCTTTAGCTTACTGTGGTAGAACTAGTGGACGTACTGCCGTTTGGCTTGGCTCTGGTCCGGATGGTATTGTCAAACTTGGCAATTCTGAGTGTAGCGTCTACGTGCGTCATACAAGTCATTTACCGCAAAAAATCTCTCGGCTTATGGTAAGGGTGTGATGGGAACTTGTCCCCCTTCCTAGAATAATCGACACCATCTGCCCTCCTTTCATCTCGATCTCTTCCTCCCTCGATGCCCTCATCTCCATCCTCACGCCGCCTCCAATCTCTCCCTCCTAATACTTGTGCCATCTATTTCGCGATCCAACCATTAATCCTCTACCTATTTTTTCAGGCGGGTGTCTCATTTGGCTCTTACAACTCAACCTTCTGTTATTTTGATCTTCTTCTAGGTTGATTTAGCAGCAGAACAGTAACATGCCAATGTTACTTGGTGTGTCCCACGACATGTTCAATGGTTATAGGTTTCACTTATTTAGGCGAATTTCTCCTCAAATCTTATGAGTCAGAAGTTAGTTTCAGCTTGTGCAGCATCGGTGTTCTAGAAGATGCACCGGTCCAGAGACGATGACCTCATTGATGAAGATTTCAATATCATCAAGACTCTTCCATTGTTGACGTTCATTTTAGTTGTTCCATTTGCTAGAACTTTATAGCATATAATATTTTGAGAAGGTCGAACACAATGTTTGAAACCTTCTAAAAAATTGCGTGAATACTTATACATGTTCACTGCAGATCTATAAATTTTCGTTAAAAAATATGGTGACTTGTAAGGTACACAAAAGAGACAAATTCCTGACATAAAAAAAGCATATTTTGATATACATATTTGTCTTTTTGTATACACCACGTATGAATACACATTATTATGTAAATTCTCACGTATCTAGGATACATGTATTTGAGCATGCATACTTCATTTCTGATTTCCTTTTTGCGCTTGAAATATAGTTTTTTTAGGAGAGAAAAAATGGCCTGTCCGTTGTGCGACTTTTCGGCTCTCGGGCTCTATGGACTATAAAAAAAATATACTTGAAAGTAAAACAAACAAATCAAATTCCCCATGTGAAACTTATTTAATGTTTTCTACATATCTGTAAGTTTTCATCAAATAATATGATAATTTTTAAGCTACACAAAGAAAACACAAATTTCCGGCCCAAAACCAAAGACAAACATAAGCCCATTTTTATACACATATTTTTGTGTGTGTGCCACGTATGAAATATCTGTAAGTTTTCATCAAATAATATGATAATTTTTAAGCTACACAAAGAAAACACAAATTTCCGGCCCAAAACCAAAGACAAACATAAGCCCATTTTTATATACATATTTTTGTGTGTGTGCCACGTATGAACATTTTTTTTGCGAAAAGATCAGATCTATTATAAAAATTCATTGGAAGTACAAAACACCTCAAAGATAATAAAAATTACATCGAGGTCCATAGACCATCGAACGACCATTGCCGCCGCCAGAACGAGCCGCGGACGCGTCGCTATCGCTGTTCCCATACTGAAACTTTCTATGTACATACATAAGTATATGTGTACTGTGTACGTGTGCTTTTCAGATTCTTTTGAGATGTGAAAGTGTGGTTTTCAGAGACAGAGAGAGAGAGAGAGAGGGCTCAAAGGCATTTTCTTTTTTTTGAACACCACCTTACATTAACTAACCAATGTGAAACTTACAATCGTTTGATACAAAATTCACTACACAGGGCGGTACATCATTAACAAGAATACCATCAGATCTATTGTCAAAACTAAATTTTGCAATTAGATGAGCCACCACATTGGTAGATCGACTAATCTTAGCCATTTGAAAGTTGTTTATCAGCTTAGATAAGCTCAGTGCTTCCTTCTTCAAATCGGCCAACGGTGACCTATCAAGGTTCTGTTGGAAATATGCCCTAGAGGCAATAATAAAATGGTTATTATTATATTTCTTTGTTCATGATAATTGTCTATTATTCATGCTATAATTGTGTTATCCGGAAATCGTAATACATGTGTGAATACATAGACCACAACACGTCCCTAGTGAGCCTCTAGTTGACTAGCTCGTTGATCAAAAGATAGTCATGGTT